TTAAATCAGATCATTAATAAAGTCACCATAAATAAAGAGAGGTACTTTTGCATGGTATGTAGGCATAGCAATCTCAGCTAGAATTCAAAAAGCAACCCTGGTTGTTACTTTGGTTAAAAGAAAGAAAAATGTTTTAAAAAAGAAACTCTAGATGTGGTCTAGAAGTTACTCTGGGAAGTAATAAAGGGAGGTTTCCTTCAAATATCTGGGAAAGTGTAATTAAAAGTCAATATATTAGGCCTCAAATAGAGAAGTAAGTAATTTGCATTTTATCTCCCTAACAAAGCTTATGTGTATATATTCAAAGACTGAGAGCAAAAATTCAGTTAGTGTCTGTCATTTAGTGTCCACACCCAAGGACAAATAAAGTTTAAAAATAGCCTTATTCCAGACTGATTTAAATTAGCGAATTGAAATAAGTGAATATACAGGGGAACTTAGTTGTACTAGGCAGGAAACAATTCCGGGAGAATTAACTAATTGTTTACTGATGATTCATCTCATAGTAAAGCTGCTTATCATGCTATGAATTCAAAGCAGTCATACTTCTGTACTAAGAATTAAAAGATTTCAGGCTGCATTGCTGGATTTTCAAAAGCCAAAATATTGTACAGCCAGCAAAAAATATCCTCTTTGCAATTTAAAAAAAAAACAAACAGGCAGGATAGTGGAGTAATCTTCTCTAAGTAAAATACATCAAGCCTTAATTACTTGGATTCTTTCACTTTGACATTTTTTTTTTCACTTGTAATGCTGATGGCAGGACATACAAGGTGTCCGAATAAGCCAAAGGAAAATCGTTTGGTAAAATGAAAAGATGCCGAGTCCAGTTTACAGAAAGGATTCTTTTATTAACCTTTGGTCGAGGATATGCTTATATATTTCCAGAAAACTCCTCAAAGCCCATGTGGATTCCTGCAACAATGGATCTGAGAGAGGAAGTGACCGGACTACTCCAGCCACAGATGGTGGTGGCCCCAAGCAACACACTGACAAGATAGAGAAAAAACAGTCCAGAGATGAGGGATGCTAAAGGTGCCTTGCCATGCTAGCAGTCATCAGCTGTGCATCACTGCAGGATGCCCAGGACCAAGCCAAAGAAGGTCAGACCTGCATTGCCATTGCTCACCGTTTGTCCACCATCCAGGACTAGAGTATCTTTGCTATCATGTCACAGGTGTGAGGTGGCCCAGAAAGCGGTGTAGTGAACAAAGAGAACCAGACGGGAATGAGAGGAGTTTAATGCTGCGTTCTCAGGCGAGACCTACCAGCCCAAAGATGGGGCCAGTGAATTCGCGCCAACAGGGAGGGGCGGCACTTCTTTTATACAGGTGTTTAGTGAGGGGCGGGAGACATGAGCTGTGGAAGTTCCTGCCGCAGGGGGTCGGCAGGGTATTCAGGAAGGAGTCAGTATCTGTGCGGGGGGGAGGGGGGGGGGGTCTTTGTGGATTCCAGGGAGGGGCTGGTATCTGTGTCTGGCAAGCTGATCTGTTAGAAATTCCGGGAAGGCTGCATTATCTGGCCACACATCTGCATGCGTTGATCCTGGGCTCCCTCTGACCTAACTACAGGGGACAGTGATTGAGAAGGGAACCCATAAAAAAATGTTGCACAGTGATTGGAAAGAGGTCTCAAAGAACTTTTGGCCCAGAAATGAGCTTACTGCAGACTGATTCCCTTGATAACTGGGAGCAATTTAAAAGGACATGAAAGATTCAATCCTTGTCATTGAATTTAAAAATGTTAATGGGACCAGAGCTCTGCAAATGGCATACATTCTTGTTAAATTTATTAAATATGATCGCGGAAAATTCCAGCAGGTCATAATTATGCAAGAAGTTCATCAGAAGGCTGATGGACCTTGGGGCTTAAGCAGGGCTGAAAATCTGCATATTATTACCTACTGCTGAACAGTTGTAGGCATTTCCCCTAACCTGATAGTCTTTTCCGGTTTTACAACTTTACCTTTTTGCATTCCTAAAGGACCAATGTGTTTTCCATTAATAAAAAGGATGTGGGTCCAGACACTCAGGGAGCCACTTCACTAAAGAGCTTGTTTCAGCCTGGTTTCCCATGACTTCCAAATATATATTTCTTGTCTAGTCTCTATCCATTTCTGTGAAGCCCTTCTCCAGATTCCTGAAACCTTGCTGCGAAAAGACTGCAGCACATATGAAATCATTATGCACTCACAAAAAAAAAAAAAAGGCAGTTTACAGAAGCAGAATTAAGCATGTTAATTACAGTTTTGGGCCTCGGGATCACTGAGTTGACAGAAACACATCATCTGGGACCGCTGGGTTGACAGGAACACATTATCTAGAGCCCTCGGGTCTCGAACCACTGAGTTGGCAGGAAGTCATTATCGAGCCATCGAGGCAATTCAGAGTAAGTCCACTGTCCTGGTCTTAGGACCACTGAGTCAACTGGAACGCACCATCTGTGGCCACTAAAACAATTCAGGATAATTGTGCTGTCCTGTTTCCCAGGTACAGACGAATGTGCTTCGATAACCAGTAAGATAACAATCAATAGGATAGTCATTCAATCGAATGGGATGATTTATACAATTCAGAAAATCAAAATAACCTGTCCATTGTTAAACAAAGCAAATAGGTACCATACTTCACATGTAAAACACTATTAGGACCCACCTCAAATTATTTCATTTACTACAATATCTGTGGCACCTGCCATGTTGACAGGGAAGTACCACTTGAAACTCATGGACTAAGCCTGCGAAAAACATGTGAGAAAACTACAATTACAGGACTCCTCCCATCAAAAAGAACAGAAAGGAGAGATATTATTTTCAGAAAGTAATTTTAACTTCTATTTGACTGATGAATTAGAAACCTGAAACTAGAAGATCTTTATTATGGCAGCTTTTCTATCTCCTATCTTCTCTATATGGCATTTCTGAGTGTGTGGAAATACCACTATTATTAAAAACGGATAAAAAATTATCTCTTGGAAAAAATAGAAGTACCAGCTTTTATTTAGTTGGTAAGTAATATTTACCAACTGGGAGCTTTAGTCAAATTAGCTAAACAGGAATTGTCTCCAAGAAGCCCCTTTTCTGTGTGGTTCTGGGTTAGATTTGTTCAAAGGAGACATTTGTGTGTAAACAAGAATATGGAAAGAAGCAGAGCCACAACTCTTGGAAATTCACAGGGTGAGATGCAATGAGTGAGAACTAAGAAGAAATTGCTCAGGCCTAGCCTCATCTTTCCTTCTTTGGAGAGTAGCTCTCTCCCCCACCACTGCCCATGTTGACCTATAGCCACAGGATGCGCTCTAGGGCAACAGGCTTCTATGGGTTTCTTCACTAACACCCCTCACAGTTCCTCTGGATGTGCTTGTCCAGATTTCCTTAAAATCCTTAAAATCTCTGACTTGTCCTATAGCTCCAATGCCTGGAGAAGACTGATTAGTAACTTTGATCCTCCTACTTCTTTATCCATGATCTTACTTCCCTAGCTCCTCCCACAACGGTGTCAGGTCTAATTCCTAAGATAAATCCTTATACCCTAAGACTCATAGTGGTGTTCTGCTTCCCTTATCAAACCTTGACTGACACACCAGACTCCCCACTCCCATCATTTTACAACAGGAAACACAGTCCATTGCTTCCGAATACAGAACCAGGTCTAGCTATGTAACTGCATTAGAGCATCACGTAAGAAAATGAGTAAAGGTTGTTCAGTTGAGTGGGGGACACAGACACATAATAATGTATATAAAGATTACAACCAGAGGTAGAGGTATGTTTGTGGGGTAGTGAGAGCAGAAAGAGTCAAATCTAGGAGGCAGTAAGCAAGCTGAGAGGGCAAGGACTTGTCTCTCACAGCACCATTTTCCCAGGGCTGGGGGACAGTGCCTTCACAGAAAATTGAATTGAATTGAAGTAAACTGAATTTGCACATGGCACAGTGGTAAGTCCTAGGAATAGGGCATTGAACAAGACAAACACGGCTAGTTCATGCCTTCACTTAGCTAGCAATCTAGTGCAGTGGTTCACAAACTTGAGCATGCATCATAATCTCCTGCAAGGCTTGCTAAAACCTGGATTGTTGGGGCCACTCCCAGAATTTCTCCTTCCATATGGCTGGAGGAAGGGCTGGAATTTGAGCTTCCAAGTTCCTGGAGATGCTGGTACTGCTGGTCTAAGTCATATTGTACAACTGCTGGTATAACAGTTCTCAATCACTGTGGCAACTTTTAAAAAATACCTTGCTAGGAACATCACTCCAGACCTATTAAGTCATGTTTTAAAGATTCTGCAAGTGATTTTAATGTGTAGGTCAGGGTCAAAATCACTGACTCAACAAATAGTAGCAGTTGAAGTATGTTAGCAATCATCCCAGGTAGAAACTGTAGTTTACCTCTCAGCCTGCTGTTTGGCTTAAGAATAGAAAAGTTATTTTGATTTTCTGAATTATATAAATCATCCCATTAGATTGAATGCCTTATTGATTGTAATGTGAATATCCCATTGATTGTGATCTTACTGGTTTTAGAAAGCAAATTCCTCTGTACCTGGGAACCAGGACAGCACAATTATCCCAAGACTTGAGGGTTCTAGAAAATGTTTCCCTGTCAACTCAGTGGTCTCAAGACCCGAGGGCTCTAGATAATTTGTTTCTGTCAACTCAGTGGTCCAAAGACCCAAAACTATCATTAATCTTTGTAGATAACTAATCAGCTCAATCTCGCTTCTGTAACTGCTTTGTGCAAACCAGGGTCCTCATTCCAAACCCTGGGATGTAATCAATACCTTTGTGATTTTGACTATATAAATCTGGTGTTGCGGCCATCTTATCATTCCGAGATTTGGGAGAGTGAAATGCCCCCTCGGAGTCCCGGATTACAATAAATGTGACTCTTTAATTTGACTTCTTGAGGCGTCCTTCTGTGATTCGCGGGGTACATTATAACAGTTACCATGTATTACTTACTTGCTGTGTGCTGGACACCATATGAAGATCCCATACACATTATCATATCAGGATACCCCATTACAGGTAAGAAAACCAAGGCTCAGAGAAGTGAGATCAGCTGACCAAGAGAACTTAGCAAGTATCATTAGGAGAGGAAGGATGGAACCCAGGTCTCTGTGACTAGAGTCCACTCATGTAACCACAGATGCTTATACCACAGGGGCCTGATTTAAAACAGCACACCTGATTTAAATATTGAGGAGAAGTTCCCTAGGTAGACAAAGAGGAGAATGCTTTTCAGGCAAAAGTACAGGCACACTGTGTTTTATTGTACTTGGCTTTACTGCACTTCACAGATGTTGCATTTTATGTAAATTCAAGGCAAAAGCCTCCACTAGCAAAATGATTGCAACACTCACTCTGTTGCTGTAGTCTAGAACCAAACCCACATCTCTGTGGTTCACCAACCTGAGCTCTGCATCTCTGAAGGTGCTGAAGTAGAGGCTGGAGTCAAATGTATTCTGGGACAGATAGTTGGGTAGCTGGGCAGGACAAGATGACAGCTGTGGCTCACCCTCCTCCTAGAGTCTAGATTTCTATAATGAGGGGATGGAGACCAAGAGGAGAAGGAGATGGACGAAGAGAAGGAGAAAGATACAGGCAGTGACTTACTCAGAGTTGCCCTGGTGATTAATGAGCAGGTACCTCTTTCCTGCACTTAGTCTCTGTGGTATGAACATCCACTAATGCTTGGTTCTGACATCCTATCCACCCTCAAACAACTTTCTGCTAGTTACATGCCAGATAAATATCTATAATAATTAAAGCATAACTTGCAAATCAACCAAACAACTAAACAGGACTTTCTGGACGAAGCTGGGGCTGCAGCCAGGGCTGTGAAGGGCTACTCTTGCAAGAATTTCATGCATCAGGCCTCTAGTTAATCAATAAAAGCCAGAACATAGGACAGGCAAACGTAGGACTAAGATTGAGGCAATTCATATTTAAATATTCATTTAAATTTTGAAATTCACTATTAATTGTTCTATTGTATAGTACAAACATAAATGTATAATGTGGAAAATTGAGAAGATACAGAAGGACTTAAAGCAGAAAATAAAAACTATTGAAATTTCACTGTTGAAATTTTGGTTATAACTTTTCAGAAATGTTTTCCTGTTTTCAAATGTCTGTAGGTATGTGCATTCCAAAAAAAAAAATCATGCTATAAATCTATAGTAAAATGCCTAGGTGATCGTCATGCCCTCAAGCATCACGCTCTCAAGTTGTCACAAGATGGCCGTAACAAGATGGCCGTGCACACAGCAGAGGTCGGGCCTAGCAGAGGAGGCGATTTGATGCAGGGGAGGGCAGTTGTGGGCAATCTGGCTGGCAGAGGAGGGCAGTTGGGGAGATCAGGCCAGCACAGAAGGGCAGTTGGGGGTGGTCAGGCGGGCAGGGGAGGGCTGTTGGGGGCAATCAGGCTGGCAGTGGAGATCACTTGGCATCAATCAGGCTGTCAGGGGAGAGCAGTTGAGGGCGATCAGGCTGGCAGAGGAGGGCAGTTGGGAGCAAGCCTAAACCATCAGTCAGACATCCCCCAAGGGGTCCCTGATTAGAGAGGGTGCAGGTCAGGCTGAGGGCCACCAGCCTCCCCCACCCCAAGCAAAAATATCATGCACTGAGCCTCTAGTATAATATATAATCTCTCTTTTTTACGTATCATATATCATGACCATTTTTAATGGCAGA